GTTCAGTGCTCCTGGACATATGCTGTACTCGGCCTCCAACTTCGTGTTGAGGTCGCCTGTGAAGTCCATGCTGCGACTACACGCTAATCGGTCATAGAAGGCGTCTCAACCTCTAGCGGCATAGACGGCAGTGACGTTCAGCATCGTTCCGCTAATGACCAGGTTTCTGTCTGGTACGTACTACACAGGAATGACCATGACCATTACCGTCTGGCCTACCCTCCTAGACAAGTGGATACTCACACCGACGGGGAGTTAGTTGCTGCAGCCTAAACACCAAAATGTCTACCCCCTTGCAGATCAAGCATTTTCTTCCTCAAGAGGTGAGCTTCCGTGACCGCCAGTACACTGAGTTTGTACCGGCTGGCCGCAAGGCAGAATTCGTCTAATCAATCTTCACCAGACAAGGAATGAACGTTTCAGAATGCAACACGACACGACACAACTTTTGTAGTTTCGATTGCCGGCACCGCGGACGTCTTGGTTTCAAGTTACTTGGTAAGTTGTGAGAGGAAACTTTTCGTCGTGCACCTCATTTCCTCAGGAGCAATAAGTTTCGCATCCTCTCGATAGGAAAGAAATCTGATGAGACTAACATGCAACTCGGAAGAAGAAGCTACGTTTGGAGGGGAGGTGTTTGGTCTACGATGCAGTAATCCATGTCTAATGGCAACGGTATTGCGAACATCAGAATTCCAAGACTTGAGATGCGCTACAACTGCAGGCAGCTTGAGATGGCAAAAACACAACAAGCAGCAACAATTTATAAATGGTTATATGGTTATGTATAACTAGATTCGAGACAATGGTCGTTCATGCAGAGCTATATTACGGGTCGGTGGTGCTTTTTTCCGCCAGACCTTTCAGGCGGTCCAAAAGTCACAAAAGGCAAGTTATAAGAAGCCCATCCAATGGACACCGAAAGCATAAATGAAGCTTTTTATATATTTAATTTTTTCGCATGTATATTCTATAATTATGATGACGCCATTTTGAAAAGATGCCATTACACGAAGCAACTATCTTAACTGACTGACTATAAATCTTAAGGAGAGTTCATCGGTTTGTATAACAAACCATCTCACAGAATATGAATAAAGAATAAAATATGCCATAATTCTCCATGTGCTAGTGGTAAATCACAACACATCAAGTAAAGATGCTAACGCAAATCTCTGGGAATACGCGTCGGCATTGAAAAACGCGCTTACGCATCTGTACCAACGGATTGGGATCTGCCATATCACCTGTTCGCAATATAAAAAGAAACGAAACCATTCAACTACTGAATAAATCTGTGTATTGCCGATTCGATGGGTACGAACATAGCACACAAAACTGATGTTAGAACTTCTACTGCGAGGCAGTTGCCAAAAAACAACGGGATCAACTCCTCGTTTTTTCGATGCAACCAGCAAAGAAACGGGTAGTAAATCGATGCCTTGCGAATGGCATTCTTCCCTGTTCTTACCAAAATGGAACAGGTGTACGGCGAAGCTGTCTGAGGATGCGTGTGCTCATTGTGCTTTCGCATTCGTCCACCTGATAGCTGACTATCCAGGGTAATAATCCGCACCGATTGTCCTGAGGACGGCCAAAGTTGTTCGACCAAGTCGTTGACAGAAAGGAACAGACTTCTAGAGAATACGGTCAGTTGTGTGTCGTGTCTATAACCCTACAGTCGATGGAATACAGGTAGAAGATGATACTCAGATTCGAAATGAATTTTCACAGCCTAATCCGTTATCCTACCTTTCAGATACCTGCTGCTGAGACAGCGGATTAATTGCAAGAATTTGATCGCCTTCGATTATGCACTCTTTGTAGACAAGCAGACTTATGTCTGGTGCTTGTCATATAGACCTCATTCTTCTCTGACATTCGTAGTCAGGGTATCCACCTGTCAAACAGAATTGTCTTGATGATATAACGAGATATGTCATTAGGCATCGTTCGCATTCGGTTAGGAGTAACACTGTTACCGGTACCACTGGGATAATGCTACTGTTAGCAATAAGGAGACGAATTATCTCTCAGATGGTACCGTTTCGTTGGTTGTAGTCTTTTACTAAGGTCTTTGCTTCCTCCCTACAGAGAGGAACATGAGATCAGGTTTATCGAAAAGTGGTTTGGTAAGCATACAATCAGGGGGACTTCTGCCTGCCTTCGTCATCATTTGTCATGCCTTACGAGTTGCCAGAATCATGCCTATTTAAACTGTGCTGTACCGTGACTACTCTTGCCTTTCTGAGGACTGAGATACACGAAAGCAAAAAAGGTTTAATTGCATGTGGCTTCAATATGTTGAGAATAAACTTTTGGTATCCATCATAATCTCACGAAAATATCATGCTACACCTATTTCCCTTCTTTTTTACCTCATTTTCCTCCTTCCGTCTTTTTCTCCTTATACTTTTACATGAGGCTCATATCTATTTAGGTGCCATCAACCTGGAACACCTTAGCTTTGAAGGCAATATCTCGAGCAGACATCTGTTGTTTCCTTTCTACTTATTGAAAAAACAGTCAGGATACGTTGAATAGATGGCATATAACTGGATTACACAAAGAATGCACTACTAATACTCATAATTTTGCACCGTCAGTTGCTGCGTTATGCATTCGCCATTGGTTACTTGCGTTCTAGCATTAGTAAGTCTTGCTCTATTCATATCGTGCCATAGTTGTTTTGTTAAGATTTGGAGATGGGCGTTATTGTTTTATCACGTGCCTCTTTTTTCTTCAACTTCCACTTTTTCTTTTGACTTGATCCTCCACTGATCCAATATTTTTCAGTTTTAGTTGTTTCGCAGCATTCCCTCCAAAGCTTCTGACACAATAGCCATACACTTATAACACAGGTTTTTATGCAGCAGTCGTAAGTTCTGGAACTGCGATTCGTTGATCTTTTTTCGGTATGACTTATACGATTGTCCATAGGTGGTCCAGTCTAGACCTTGATGAAGAAGAATAGTGAAATGCCACACTACTAGACTAGCAGAAATCCATGACTACTCTCCGTATGCAACTTTCATAACTCGTTTCGTTTTTGCATGGCTGAAGTACATCGCAGTCAAGCAAATGAAGAATCGATATAGTGGGGCATTAATTAAGCAGAAGCCCTGAATCTTCAGGGAATTGCTGACCAGCGTCACGCAGAGCGGAACGACTATTGAGAGCCAACTGGCATTTTGAACATGCGTGTAAAACTGGTAACGGCTTATATTCAACTTAGCACTTATTGACGAGATGATGACATTAAGGTGCTTATTTCGCATCCGGCACCTTATGTAAAGTAACAACAGGATTGTCAGGTTTCCGCACCCTTTGACATTGCAGTCTAGTAGTAGGCCGCGTTGAGCACGTGTCCTGTTCAAGGGCCACGTGATGCCTCTCCGAGTCACGACAGAAAGTAAGAAACTTGCCGGCGAACATCATTAGGCGACTCTGATGCGAAATAGTCAAGAAACGGGGCCAAATCGGACTTTGACCTTTAATTTCGAGACACGATTGATTTCGCTCTAAACCACTAAGGCCTTGGCTACCGGCGATGCCTATCGGTGCTGTCATTTTTCAGCAAAAACTTTGCGAATTTGGGCTTGTTCTTGAAGACATGGCCTGTAAGACGGAAACAGCATTTCGCGGCACCCGTCGTCGACGGTCATAAAACGGCATGGAGTCGAATTAGGCACACGGCCGGCGAGGAATCTTCAGACTTGCCAACTAACCGCAGCAGCAACGCCGACCCGACCTTCACGGTTCTCCTGCCACCGACGACCCTCGGGCGCTTCAGGTTGTCTCTCGGGACCAAAAACGGGTCGTCTCTTCGTCGGCGTCGTCGAAATGCCGGTTGACGACCGCCGGCCGTCCTGCCGGCTTTCCTGATTCCCTGTTAGGCCACGCTGGGAAGATAAAGGTAGCTACCGCACGGTGGTTTTTCGAGCACATGCCGAATGCGCACCGGCTGCTGCTCTAATAACCCCATTTTTTGTGACTGTTGATTCCTAATTGTAATAAAACTAACGTACCTCGATTTTCGATCCGAATCCAACGGACTGCCATCGCGGTTAGGTCGGGTCGGTCTTTATTCTGCA